AATAGTATTTAAAGTTAGAAAAGAACCAGTACAGTAAAAACAACGATAGTATTTAAAGTTAGAAAAGAATCAGTACAGTAAAAACAACGATAGTATTTAAAGTTAGAAAAGAACCAGTACAATAAAAACAACGATAGTATTTAAAGTTAGAAAAGAACCAGTACAGTAAAAACAACGATAGTATTTAAAGTTAGAAAAGAACCAGTACGGTAACAACAACGATAGTATTTAAAGTTAGAAAAGAACCAGTACAGCAATAACAACGATAGTATTTAGATAAACAGTTTAAAGTACGTTCAGCATATTTAGAAAAATCAGTAAAGTCGTAAAAATGATTCATTCTTAAAAGTGCTTAGTGTATTCTTTTTTAATTAACTTTTTTTTTCTTGTATACAGAGCCAGAAAAGTTTAGTGCCAAAATTGTGCTCATAACCGCTTACTTCTTAATATATTTCGTTGTTTAAGAATAAATTTATCAGTTTGCTATTTTTATCGTCACCATTTTTTTTTTTATGAAAAAGAAAATATGAAGAGATTTGATCTATGCTTTACTTCGAATAAAAGAATGCCAGCTTGAATTCTTCCAGATGGAGACGACAATACCGAGTTCCACTCTCCAGGTTATTGTGTTGGAGATGATAAATTGTTTGAATAATGACGCATGACTTTATTTTACTTTATAAATAATTTATATTTTGTAATTTTTTCTAATCCCTAAGCCTTAACTTACCTTTTACAGCATTGAGCTTATTGCCCATCATCTGTTTCGCTACAAAGGCGGCCATTTTTATCTTCAAAGTGCTGTCAACGTCTCCTACAATCAACTACTGGAAATTATGGAAAATCCTGTTCAAGTTTAGTTTCTTCCAGTTCAATCTCGTTGATGATCAAAAGTAGAAAACTGAAACAATAAAGGGTTTTAATGTAGATGTATGTACTTGATGTGGAGGAAACTAATCTAGATTATTTATCTTTTTGCTTGTGTTAAGTTAAGAGCTAACTGTGCTGTGCCCACTGGAGACTGAACCACGACTTTTTTCGTTATAAGCCCTCAAGCTTGCCACTGTGTCACCATGAAACTTATCGTGTTGTAATGAAAGTTATCATATATTTTTATTCCATGCGCTAAGCCTAAACATAAAAGACAGATAGGAAATGTCGATTTTCTCCCACAACTGCATGATTAATGAAAAAACATAAAAACACTTGTAACTAAGACATGACTTACTTTTTCCCGATGTGAAGTATACAGCAAAATAAGTCCTCTGTATTGTGAAGTGAACAGCACTAGCCAACAGTTAAAGGTTCAATTTCAAGAAACAAATCCTTAAAAATTATTAAAGACAGAATCAACTAATTCTATCCCCAGTATCATTTACTATTATACCAAAGTTCATTCAGGAAATTCTTTTTAAGAATGGATACACAACTGGGGTTTACACACTCACATAAAGATTGGATAATACACAGCATGCTTACACACTCACATAACGATAGGATAATATACAATCACAGTTAACGTTATTAAAACGTTCACGAACCGACGGACCATCGACACCTACTATCAGGACGTAATTCTGTATGATAATAGCAGTGGGAAAACTGACGTTAGAAGTTTGTCGAAGACAGCAGAAAGTATTGAGCTCAAAGTATTGTCGATTATAACTATATTCTCCAAAATATACTTAATATACGCTTCTTCTGAAAACATTTATTTCTCAAATCAAGCGAAGAAAATATTTTTCTACTTTGCTTTATAACAGAACGTATATCTGTGTGTTTCTAAAACTCATTGTTTTAAGAATATAAACACACAGTTAATATCTAGGCGCAGCATATTTCTCCCATTGTCGTGATTATATTAGCCTTTTTTCATGTTTAATAATCTCTATTGCACTTGGAGCTTCCATGGTTTCTGTCCCTTTGGTATCCATCCACTACAGCATTGGGAATTAAGAAAATTTCGGGAACGGGTGTAGTTTGCATTGTCATTGGGATAACATTATCGGACAATTAAGTTATCATACTACGAATACAAACGAAATATTTCCCCCCGAAATATGGGCTACAGTTGTATGGCGTTCATCCCTCTCCTTCCTCACCCTTAATGAAATAACAATAAAATATTCCTGACATCGTCTCAGCCGAGATATTGTCCATCATTTTTTTCGTACCTGACGTATAACCAAAAGGTTTTTAGCATTAAATATTTTAAACGTAAGTTCCCGAGCCTGTGACTGTTTAAAAAAAGGCTGGTAATTGAAAACTAAAATTCCAGCATCATAGTCTGAATTTATTTAGATAGTCCATTTCTAAACATGGATTTTTTCTTGTGACCTTAAAATGAGATAAACGATAAACTTTCTTTGTGTGTGAGTGTTAATGCTTAGAGTTAAAATAACTTGGCAATATTAACTTAAAGTCAGAAAATCCTTTAAAGATTAGACTGGATTTAGAAACGTGACTGAAAAAAAAATGTAACACAGAACGTTAAACAAAAATATACTAATACCATTATGATTTCTTCGTAACGATCGAAATCTAACAAATTTTCAAGTTATTTATAATCAAGCATGACTAGATTTTTTATAGACCATCTAGAAGAACGAAATATTCAAACACGTAAATTCTCAATTTAATATATTTTATGTAATTGTTTTGTGATACACAAAACCCATACAGCTGGTTTTTAATTCCAACACAAGGCGAGGATGCTTAATATTACTTTATTAAACAATTATTTTAATAAGTAAATTTTTTACCGTTATTTTCATTAACGACAATGGTTACAGTTTTTATTATGTATTTTTATTAGATTTTTCATTGTTATTATTACATATATTATACGGTGTATTTTGCATTGTTAGCTTAGTATATGGATTTAAGACTCTAACCTAAATCTCCTATGCTAACCGAACCTAATAATATAGTATTGGGATTACGACCGAAAACGTTATTAAGAACAACATTATCCAACTGATGAGACAATGCATTATAATCATTGAAAGTAAGAAAGTAAAAACAGAATATCCTTGTTCACACAAATACTCTCTTATTTCATAACACATGCACATTAGGTGATTCAATGCTTAAGTACCTACACGAACACTTAACCTTTATTAATGGACACCCAATCTTGTCAAAATCCATCACTGGAGCTAAAATAAACGATGCCATAGCTATGACCAGTTCTCTTCCCGAATCTATACTAATTCTGATCATTCACTTTGGTATAACGACCTGAAACAATACAATAAAACTGCTGAAGACTGTTTCTCAGAACTTGAAAACACAATAGCACATATCTTCAGCCTCATACCACACATTAAACTGGCTATCTCTAGTGTAATATACAGACATATGAACAGACACACTTCTACTGATTGGAACACACAAAACAGTACAATAATTAAACAACTCAACAACAAAATTCAACATTTTAATGAATTAATCAAACACCTATACAGACTTAATCCCAACTTGCCTTCATCAACCACACAAACCGAATACCACTCACTAATTTTTTTGCACAAGATAGACTTCACCTCTAATTTTCTGGTATTTTTACCCTGGCCTCAAACTTCAAATACTTTATTTCCCGAAGCGTTCTCCCACTCTTGTCTTCCTCTTCTAAATTACTTCAATCATCTCCTATTTCTACTTCTAATAGTTCTTCTACCTTCTCTGTCCAAATTCTCCATTTCTCCCTATCTCAGAAGCTACTAACGTCTCTCACAATAATACCTCTGTCACTCAATCTACCCAACTAAACACTCATTCATTCTCTCACAGTGATCCTTCAAGTTCTGATACAGGACTAAACACAAATCACACTTTCCCCCAAAAAATCCCATTCCACAAATAGAAACATTCGTTCTTATTGTGTTTCCGTTGTTAGTTCTAGCTATCCACCAACCCTTCCACTCCCTTATCTACAAAACTACACCAAATCCCTACCAGTGTAAACGCTACATGTTCCACACTACAATCTTCACCAGTCGATCAGTCTCTTGTAGAATTACCTTCATTAGAACACAGTAGTCTTTCATCTGTTAGCATCAACTCTCAGAATGATCAACAATGCACTCCACACTCTGAAGAACATAGTTACCCCCTTCTTCCTTCCATCAAACTTAACCATCCTCTATCTCACGATTACAACGACGTCCTCACACCAATTTCTGTCAACATTCAACGTGAACCAAGCGGCGAATCACTCAACTACAGCAGAAAACAACTATTTCAAAAGCTTAGAAAACTCACTGAAAAACGCACAAAACATTGTCAACATGCCAAGTCGCTAGTGCGTAACATACAAAACCGAAACATACCTCAATCTCTCGCATTAAAAGCACCAATAACAATAGGAGCACATGATCAGAACTTCTGCAACAAATGGAAACAGATCCTTGAAAACACCTCCTTAGAACTCGTGAATATGACTAAAACATTCTGTTGATATTCTAGATAAAGAAATTTCCCACTATTATCACCTGTACAACCCTTCAAAGGAAGAAAAAGAAGAACTACAAAAATTTACAAAGACAACTGATACATTCCTTCTTAAAAATAATAACAAAAATCAGCTTCCTACCAATTCAAAAAGCGCTTCTAACAACACTCTTTAGAACCCTCTTCTTTGTCCTAAAGAAACTACCATAACATTAAGCAGTCTACCAGAAACTACCAAAATCCCTTTATCTCACAATTAACAGCTTAAAAAAACGTTTAAAAACACTTCATCCTCTTATACCCATAAGCCTTCTCAAACTAACAAATATGTTGAAAATAACAGTGACTTCATAAAACATACAGATAACGATGAACACTTCCGACATATCTCCAACATTGTTAATCTTTCAGACATAACTCTTTCTGAATCAGAACTCAGTAAAGGTCTAAACTTCTACCCAAATAACAGCTATTTTAATGAGCCCGAACTTCTTTCTGACCTTCATGAATTCCCTAGAAAACTAAGACTTCGCGAATTTTTTCACAACAAAACCCACCCTACTGAAAATCAAAATATACCAAACTTTAAAGAAAAGTCTTTATGAACACCTCCACCAAACAGAGAACTGCATTTAGAGAGTTATATTAAAAAAGTAGAAAATGGCATAATACAGACCTTAAAATCTACTAAGCAATGTCCTAATAATATTAACCAAAATGAAAGAAGTGCTTTAAACAATCTTAAATCAAACTACAATATCGCAATAAAGCCAGCAGACAAGGGTGGAGCTATTGTTATTAACAATGATGATTATATCACGGAAGCTAACCGACAACTAGAGGACACTAATTTCTACAAAAAACTCTCACATGATCCTACAACTCACTTTATTAAGACCATAACTGATAAGCTTAAAGAAATCCTCTAAAACAGTAAAATTAACAAAGAAACCTTTCAGTATTTGATACCCAGACAAGCTTTTCCTGGTAGATTTTGTCTGATATAAACATGGCTACTGAAAAGCTGTCCGCTTTTGTTGACCAACACATAAAATGTATTCCTTGTACCCTCCCCTCTTACATAAATGATACTACTCAGTTTGTTAACATCATAGAAGATATTAATACTAACGGACAATTACCACCCAATAGTCTTCTTTGCACGATGGATGTTTCTTCCCTTTACACCAATATTCCACAAGATGAAGGACTACAAACTCTAAAGTCCGCATTAAATCTTTCTAACCAATCAGAATCTCAAACAGTAACTGATCTTGTTAGTCTGGTTTTAACTTTGAATAACTTCGAATTCAATAACAAGTATTACATTTAGGTTAATGGTACTGCAATGGGTACCAAAATGGCTCCCAATTACGCCAACATTTTTATGGGTCACATTGAAAACCGGCTTTTACAACTAAGCCCTATAGAACCTCATACATGGAAACG